GACTGGATGGTGGGTAGGTTCGATGGACTGGCAGACGAACATCGGTTGTGAAATAAGTATCTCCACACCGCGTTTCTGAATTGCTTCGGCTCGATCCTCCAAAGAAAAGCATGGTCACAAACGAGCGCATCTTGCTTCTCCTACGAGTTGGTTGGATTGATGGATAAGCGCCATGATCGTCTGAGACCAAACGACGAACGGCTTTCCTGACACACGGCCAACGGTACGCAGCAGCCACAGCTGATTCGGGTTATATGTCCGAGGACGACGGGTATTTCGCTGCACAATCACTCACAGTGTCCCTTGAAATGACGAAGAAACACTTACGATGGATGACTCGATAGTCTTTGGCTATCTTGAGTCCCTGAATGACCCTCGAGTCGTGGTCGAGGGCGAGGGAACCCACCTCCACTCCGAACGTAGGCGCGGCAGTGGCGGCTGGCAGTTTTTGTCCAAATACATGACAACCACAGCGTCGATCACGGTTGGTTTCGAGTCTGAGAAAGAACGTTTCACGGTGGCGGTGTTCGCTACGCACAAAAACAAGAAGATATCAAGACAAAAAATCCGATTAACGAGGAGAGATAGGTAGAAAGCACGCACATCTCGACCGGGAATTGCATTATCGTCACGTTGGTGCGACTCACCGCACGGTTGCGGTTTGGTGCCTTCGCTGGGTGTTATAGCGTGGGTATTCAGCGGTACCGCCCGCAGTATCAGTAAAAGTTTCCGTAGATTTATTCCGCATTGTATCAGGCATATCATATGGCCGCAGTTCAGCTCCTCGCTCGGCATAAACTGTTGACTTGTCTCTGTACACATGGAGAAATCCGGCTTTGTCGCACAGGAATGGTGCCAAAATATAGGGGAAACCGAAAGGCAATTAATGCGCGCCCTGTGCCATATATTTGTAATATATATATATCCCCCGTTGGGTTTTCGTCGCTTGGCAACGACGTCGTAATACAAGCCCCCCCCTCGGTGTTTGCCATCGGGATTGGGTTTTCGTCGCTTGGCAACGACGTTGTAAAACAAGCCAATTCACTTCGTGAACTCGGCAACCAGGTTACCGTTGTTATTTTTCCGCTGTTTTTTTTGGCAGTAACCATAAGGGTGGTCGAGTAGACTATGTTGTGCGGGGTCGAGAACCCTCACTCCGCGCAAGGGGGATGATCGCACCACGT